GTTAGTTGGAAGTCTACTTTGCAGTCAACAGTTGCTTTGTCTACAACAGAGGCAGAGTACGTGACTATTACAAAGGCTATGAAGGAGGCAATTTGGCTTCAGGGATTGCTAAAAGAGCTTGGTATTGGACAAAAAAGTATCTCAATTTTTTGTGATAGTCAAAGTGCTATTCAATTAGCGAAGAACCAAGTTTATCATGTAAGAACGAAGCACATTGATGTTCGGTATCATTTCGTACGAGAAATCATAGAAGAAGGTGGAGTCACGGTGAAGAAAATTCATACAACAGAGAATCCTACTGATATGCTAACAAAAGTGGTGACTGCGGTCAAGTTTCAACATTGTTGAACACTGAAGATTGAAGATGAATACACAACCAAAATTTGTTATTGAGAGAAAAAATTTGTTATTGAGAGAGAATTGAAANAATTGAAGATGTGGAATTTTGCTAAGGTGGAGATTTGTTGAAGTTGTCAAATATCCCACATAGGTGGTTGACACTTTTGTTTGGGAAATTTTCCCTATAAAAGGAGACCTAATGTTTAGGATTTAAATACACCTCTCATTTGCCTTCTTATCTTCTTAAGGCATTTGCATCTTATCTCTTTAGTATTATTTCACTTGTATTTTTGGAGTGGAATAAAATATTGGTTGTGTCCGAAGAAGTAGGCAAAATTGGCCGAACCTCGTAAATTCTGGTGTTCCTTTTATTGTTGCTTTATTGTCTTATTTATTATTTGGTGGCTGTCATAATTTTTGGTATAGTAGTTGTGACTCATTCACACTATATACATTTGGCTTCCGCAACAGTACATGCATCAGAAAAGGACAGGCGATATTCATATTCATCGTAACGGATTTATAATGCACAGCAACAAGAAATGTTGTGCATAACCTAGATATTTTGATCCCGACGATAAAACTGATGCCTCATTCATCATTAGCTAATTCTATTAGGGATACTATCTTTTTTTTTTCTTTCAGAAGTTAAAGGAGACAAAACACTGTCTTTTCTGATATTTATTAAGATCACAGTTAATGTTTAGAAACTAACGATCTATAAGGATGATAGCATGTACTAGGTCCAAGAAATCAGCTATTACATCTGATATTGTCTATAACAATTATGCAACTACGTTGGTGGATTTTCATGGAATTTCTAAATTCTTGGTATTTATACTGGAAAACGTATATATTAGTCAAGTCTGGAGCAAAAGATAATTGGAATATAACTGAGAGGAAATATGTCAGAATACAAATATATGTAAATCTTGGAAAAGCAAAGTTGTTGAAGTAAGAAGTTTTTTTTTTGGCATCAATAAAGAAATGGAAAATGAAAATTGGCCATTCCTGAAGCAAGTACCTGAATGCATTCTCCGGCAAGCAGAATTGCTCCTATGCTAATGCCAGTGTTGACTGCTGTCTGAATGAGTACCACAAAATAAAACATCCAACCAGAGCCTACAATAATACTCCACAACACAAAATTCTTTAGTTTAAAAAGATGCTGTAATAAAGTGGTAAAGTTTGAGCTAGTTAGAGCTGTTACATATAATTCATCATTCAAATATCTTAATGTTCAATGACTGATAAGATTATACGATGCAATCAATCTATGGGGGAAGTAGATGAAATATTAGCAGTAAGCATGTGCAGAACTCTTAAAGAAGCTTAAATTGGATAAGAAGATGTTGAGTAATAGTAAATTAATTAATGCTTTGTTCGTCTAACATTATAGTTTTTTAACTTCTTCATGCAGAAATGAGTATGTTGAGGTGGATGTGCGGGCATAGTAGGATGGATAAGATTAGGAATGATGATATTCGGGAGAAGGTGTGCGTGGCTCCCATTGATGACAAGATGCGGGAAGCAAGGCTCAGGTGGTTCGGGCACGTTCAGAGGAGAAGCCCAGATGCTCCGGTAAGGAGGTGCGAACGGCTGGTTGTTGAGGGCTCGAGAAGAGGTAGAGGGCAGCTTAAGAAGTATTGGGGGAGGTGATTAGGCAGGATATGGCGATGCTTCAGATTTCCGAGGACATGGCACTTGATCGGAACATGTGGAGGTCGAGTATTAAGGTTGTAGGCTAGGAGGTAGTTGAGTCTTGCCTTATGCCATAACTTTGGGGACTAGTTTGGTAGGGATACTATGTTGCTTTTGCTTTGTATCATTCCTCTTGATTTCATGTTGTTCTTATTTTTCATATATATATATATATATATATATATATTTCTTTCATATTATTTCTGTGGTGTTACTAATATTATCTTCTTTTGTCCTTTTGTCTTCTTGAGCCGAGGGTCTTTCGGAAACAGCCTCTCTACTCCTTCGGGGTAGGGGTAAGGTCTGCGTACACACTACCCTCCCCAAACCCCACTAGTGAGATTTCACTGGGTTGTTGTTGTTGTAACTTCTTCATCCAAGGTTCAAAACTTTAAGCCATCTATTCCATCCATTATCTTTTTCCGGCCTCCTCCAACAAACACCAATTATCTAAATTCACTATTCTCATTAAGTACAAAAACCACTTCCCGGTGCACTATGCGCGGATCTGGGGAAGGGTCGGACCACAAAGGTCTATTGTATGCAGCCTTACCTTTTATTTCTGCAAGAGGCTATTTCCATGGCTCGAAGTTGGACGTACAAAAACCACTAACTATAGATTTGTTCTTTTCTACGCAGGTGTGAATCTAACAAAAACCACTAGAATCTGGTGGTTGTAGTCAAAATAATTAGGCTAAATGTCCTTTTCAAAATACCACAACAACCTTGCATTCATATTGAGGGTCCTTTAGAAGCATCAAAGGCTACTTCCACCACTAAAGGAAATCTATGCTTTTCATTAGCAGAATCAAATCTTCCTTTCACACATGACAGAATAACTTTTTTTCCCAGTAAAAGAGATTTTCTATTATTTTAAAATGCAAAAGCTTGTAATTTTACATAAAAGACCAACTAATCATCTTTGGATCTCAGTAAATAATTAGTAAATACTCTTATCTACAACTCAGTGCAGCAACCCCTTTAGAACAGCATCATATTCCAAATTAAAATGCAACAGTGACCACAATAGACTTAAATAATGCAACATCATTTGATTAATTTAATAGTTTGGACTTCTATCCTTTCAACAACAAACAACATTCACCTTTTTCTTCTTTTCTTTTTGCAAGTCCAATCACATTTTCTCAAACTACAAAGGCAAACATCGAGTCTATTTGAGCTCGTTGCATTTCAATTAAATTATAGTTCTCTAATCTAATACTAGAAAAATTCTATGATTACAACAACAACAATAACGCCTTAATTCCAAACTAGTCGGAGTCACAATATGAATCATCACTATCCATCTCACTCTATTGGAGTCGTGTTTCAATATCTACTAATCAATGGCTCTATAATACTATAGAAACTCTACGAATTTTACAAGAGTTTAGATTCTATGCGCTGTCAGCTTAAAAATTTTTTATACAATCATGTAACAAATTAGGTAACGATAAGTGAATCTCTCTATAAGCATTAATTCGTAATCTAGTAACTAGCCTGCTATTACAAGTTAAAATTAACTGATGGGGCAAAAAAATCTTTACCTAAGACATCGGCGGCAAGTTCTCTGAATCGAATATGGCGTCGACCGGACTTCTCACAGTGATCAAGAACCAATGACATGAGATAGTAAGAGTAAAAAGTGACCAACCCCATCACAGTTAAACACAAGAAACCCAATCCCCATCCTAGCCCTCTGAATACATACGGCAATGTCAGTACCGTTGGACCTACTATCGCCGTCGTCAAATGAAATCCTGCATGCCACCATTCCCCTGTTCCCACAAAAAAAAAGGAGGACTCCATTATAGGATTAGCAATAAAAACTATTAAATTCTGTTATAAAAGAGATAGCTTTATGTATTTCAAAATTATAAGATGCCCCATTTGTAGATTCTTCAAATATTTTGTTAATGAAGAACTTACCAATTGTTCATCTATAAACTGTTAAAGATTACATTTTTATTTACTATTACTTAGTAATTTCTTAAGTCTACATCGAAACTTAAATAAGAAAGACCCCATTATAGCATTAGCAGTAAAAACTGTAGAATTGTGTTAGAAAGGAGATATTTTTATTTATTTATCTTAAATTTAGAACAAAACCCAGGTGTAGATTCTTTTTCTTTGACCATACAACATGCAGAATTCTGCAGATAGTTCATCTTAAAATTGTTAAAGATTACATTTTTATTAACTCTTAGTCCAAAAAAAAAAGAAGCCCGGTGCACTAAGTTCCGACTATGCGCGGGGTCCAGGGAACGGCCGGACCAAAAAGGCCTTTTGAACGCAACCTTATCCTGCATTTCTGCATGCAAGAGGTTGCTTCCACGGCTCGAACCCTGATCTATTGGTCACGTGGAAGCAATTTTACAAGTTACGCCAAGCTCCCCTTCTATCTTAGTATATAAAAAAAGGGGTAGTCGGTGCACCAAACTCCCGCTATGCGCGGGGTCTAAGGAAGGGCTGGACCACAAGGGTCTATTGTACACAGCCTTATCTTATTTTGTACGAGAGGCTGTTTTCATGGCTCGAACCCTTGATTTTCTGGTTACAGGGCAACAACTTTACCCGTTACGCCTAGACTCTCGTTCTACCTTAAATCTACGACAACAACAAAAATGAAGACAAAAGATTTGTTGAGAAAATTTTACCTTTGGATTCTAAAACAAAAGCAGCACCAGCATCATCTGCACGGCGAATTTCAGGAAAAGGATCATTGCGGAGAGGCGCCGGCGCCATTTTAGGAGATTCTGTTACTACAAGCTCATATCATATGTAATTGTGTCTTTGTATATAGAATTTTCTTCTTCTTTTTTTTTCTCGAATTTGTGTATAAAAGAATGATGATGGAAAGAAAGTGGGAATATAGTTGTTGTAAAGAAAAGACTCCAAAAAGAGAAATGGTTATATTTTTGGAGAGGTCGAAGGCACAAATCACAATGATGATATGGCAATAGGCAGAGACATTTGGTTTTTATAGGTTTTGCCATATTTGAGTCGACATTTGATATATTTAGTAAATCCCTACTGGGTACTATTCTAGATTCATCAAATCTAATATGGATATCAAACATCTAGTGAAAATCAAAAATTAAAATTTTATTTTAGTAAGTTTATTGGTTCACATTTCAGTCATGGGAAAAATTATAATGGCGGAATTATTTATGTTGGGAATAATAATGAAGAATATCAGATAGTGAATAATAATATAAAATTGTTATATAAAAATTATCTACTTTAAAAATATTTTAATTTCAAGTATTTTTTTTTTTGCTAATATAAGTATTCTTATTCTACATTCAATTTCATATACAATAATATATAAATGACCGCATTAGTTAGTGCAAGTGTTATTTAATTCAGATCATTTCTCCTAATTATTCACTCAAATCTCCATTCGTTTCAATTTACGTGAATCTATTCTGTTTTAGTCACAATAGAATAATTTCTTTCCATATTTGGAAATAATTTACCTTTATGCAATAATTTATATCAAGATAAAATGCACTTGCCTTATTTTACATCACAAGTTCAAGAATCTTCTTTTATTTGTTAAACTTTGTACTCCGTCAAAAAAGGTACACATAAATTGAAACGGAGGGATAATTGTGAAGTGTTATTTCCAATTTCCATTAATTCCTAAACACCAAACAAATTCCGTCTTAGTTTTCTTTTATATTTTTATAAAAGTACTTATGATATTGGAAGCAGTGTTTTAAAAGGCGAGGACGTGAGGCAGACGATTTTACTTAATACGGGGCGAGGCGAAAGCCTCGAGACATGAATCGTAAGCCCCACTGATCTTTAATTTTTTAAATTTATGAACTAATAATATAGCATCATAACACAATAAAATATAAAAGTTGCATTAAAAGTTCAAGAAAACTAAAAAGAATTAAAGAAACTCATATAAAATAAAATATTTAGCATATTTTATAAGTATAAATAATATAATATTGTTAAAGTTACTATGAAATATAAATTAACTTTAACATCTTAACTTTCAAACAATTAAAAATTATAATTTTTTAAAAAAATATTATCAAATTGCATATTTTACCTCTTTAAAAGTAAATGCAAAATAAAAAATTAAAAAATTAAATGCAAAATAAATTTTTCAATACTGTGATTTAAAATATTACCTCTTCATGAATAAATATAAAAAAAAAATATATGATAATTTTGATAGACATAGAACTAAGACATGAAGATCTATCAAGTAAAGATATAAATTTTGGTTATCTATTCTTAGAAGAAATATTCAAATGATATTCACCCTCACGATGTTCTCAATTAGTAAATATGCAATAATATGTTCGTTATTTGAGTTATTCACAATTTTCATATTCTTATAGATAAAAAAACTTTAATCATTCATTTATCAAAGAATTTTGAGAGTTAATACTGCAAATTGGTGAATTCAACACATGATTTGCATAGGAACTATTGGACGGTGTTGAGCGTTAGGCATGGTTAGGACGCACAGTGGCGAAGTTAGGAATTTCCTCAATGGTGTTCAAACTTAAAGAAGTGAAAAAAATTCTCCGACACGAGTGTTTAATATATGTTATATATTTCTAAAACCTAATATTTTACCTATATACGCAATGTAATTTTTCAAGGAAGGGTGGTCAATTCTCCACCCTTTAGGATACGTAGCTTCGCCCCTGAAGGCACACCATTGGGTGCTTGGGGGCGTAAACCTTAGAGAACTAAGCCTCACACATAAATCTCAAGGCGTTTTGATAGTGTCCCGCCCCGTCGAGGCAAGTCCCAAAAAGCCTTTTAAAAGAAGAACAAAAATCTCCTTTCCCATACGTAATGTTTACTTAATTCTACACATCAAAAGTGATGTGCATATGCTATTAAAATCTTGATGGCCTCAAATGACGCAAAAGCCGACAAACAAATTTATTTCGTTTCTTCCTCTTTTTCTATTCTTTTTGCTATATATAACCACTACTCAAGAACCACCCCACTTAAACGAAGAACAAAAAAGGCCACTTGCGCAATTCAACGGTTTAATAATATATTAGATTAACATTAAAGAGGAACAATACCCTAATACTGTGAGGTTATCTATTATTGTCCCTCTGTTCTCTTTTACTAGTCCAGTATGACTAGTAAAAAATAACAGAGTTATTAAATAAAAATTTGTTTTACTACTAAATTACCATTACTAACGGCAGTCAAATTTCTTTATTGATGTTCTGATATTTTTTTTTATAGCGAAATGTTGTTATTAGATGAGATATATTATAATAAAATATAAATATCGATTTCGAAGAAAAATTGACTTTTATAGTGAATGACTGTTATATAGAGATGTTGTTATAGAGAACTTTAACTGTATTAAAATCTATCAATAAAGCATGATTAGGAAGTGTGATTATCTAATGATAAGGATAACACTGGAAAAAATAATAAATCCTTATTAATTTGTTAAAGTGAACAAGTAAAAAAAAATATTCTTAATATATTGGACTACTAAAAGGGATCAGAGAGCTTTATGTATTTATTTCAAATTTACAACATGCCCCATTTGTAGATACTTCAAATATTTTGGTAATGAGGATTTTACCAACAGTTTATCTCTAAACTGTTAAAGATTACATTTTTATTTACTGCCCTCTATTTCACTTTTTTTTGGTCTCTCCGCCTTTCCAGAATAGGGATAAGGTTGCATATAGAGATGACAAACATGCAGGTCGGATTGGATATGAGCGGGTCAAAACGGATAAATTATCCGACCCGACCCGCATGTAAGCAGTACATCCTACTCTCCCCGTACCATTTGTGAAATTATACTGGGTTGTTGTTGTTGTTGTAACAACATAATAGAATTATTGTTCAACACTTCGACAACATGAAAAATAAAATAAACTTTCACTTATCGAGAGTCAATATGACTAAACTTTGAAGCTAAATTGATAATTCAACTCAATATTTCAAAATTAAATTTAGATATCAAAAACTATATAAAAATTACAATAAGTTATAATTTTTTCCATATTAAGTCTACACGAAACTTAAAGAAAAAAGACCCCATTATAGAATTAACTGTAAATACTGTAGAATTGTGTTAGAAAGGATACTTTTATTTATTTATCTTAAATTTACAACAAAACCCAGGTGTAGATGCTTTTTCTTTGATCATACAACATGCAAAATTCTGCAGACAGTTCATCTTAAAACTGTTAAAGATGACATTTTTATTAACTCTTAGTCTAAAAAAATCTGAGTCTTTCGTCAAAGCTAAAAAGAAATTCGGGTTACTGATAATCAGGAGACAAAAATAAAATACTTTTGAGAACGATGGTAAAGAAGCAAATAGATGTATATTTCAATAAATTCTCAATAGTATTCCGTGTCCTTACAAATGATGATACTTCTTCCTTTTATAGATAATTCTAGGTAAATGAATGAAGCCTCAGCTTTAATGATATAATCATGAGTAATAAATGATATTAAATAAGCCGTTATACAATCATTCCTATTAAATACCAATTTCGTAACGTATCAAGTATTTAATAATGAATTTGGACTCCTTTCTGTCACCAGATCTTTGCTTTCAATGCCTTCTATCCGTTGGCTGTAAATAATTTAAATTGGTACGAGACTCGTATCTATACGTCGTCTCGTGCCTATTTAAATTCTTCTTCCCGTGGATGTTTCCATCCGTGCCTCTTAGTCAATTGCTGCGCTTTGACCATTTAACTAATCCACGTGTCATGCCACATCATCTTTTAATATAAACTCAGTTTTTTTCCCAATACAAAGACAGTTCGATGTACTGAGCCTGCACTATGCGCGAGGTCCAAGGAAGGGTCAGACCACAAAGATCTATTGTACGCAATCTTACTCTGCATTTCTGCAAGAGGCTGTTTCCACGGCTCGAACCTCTAACCAGGGGCAAATCGATATAATATGGGGCCTAAGGCGAAAATAAAAGGTGAAGTCTGAAATTTTTTAATTATTTTTTAACCCTTATAATTTATCGAAATCTAAAGAAGTTATAATCAGTTTTAATTATTGTCAATGTGTAACCAATTTGTTTAATCTCTCTTGTGTTATCATGTTGAACTTTATTAATTTAGTTTTGAAATATTTTTTCAACCGAGGCAACTGATATAGAAATTATTAACGGTAATTGAATTAACACTTTTTACCTTATTTAGTTTGCCAATTAGAGCATTCTTCTACTTGTATAGTTTCTCTTAGCATTTTTAATTCTAAGTATAAGTTGAAACAAATAATACTATAGTAACTACTACATTTCAAGAGTTATTCAATGTTAAGGACGAATTTTAATAGTTACTTATCAAAGTAGCTTGAAAAATGTTTACAAAGGCACTCAAAGAATTAAGAAAATTGTTCTAAACTAACACGTAAGAAGATCGATTTAAATTGGAACGAATTAAAGACAAGAAACAACTAGTAACTACAATTTAAGATGTGTAAAACCTTTAGCTATAATTATTTTGATCAAATAATTTAAAAATTCTATTAGTACCGCATAATTATTAAATATTATATATACTTACAAATTTTGGGGTCCCAAGTATTTTGGTGGCCTATTGCCTTAGTTACCTTAGGCTCCAACCAGCCTATAACACCCCAGACTTTAGATAGAGTCTCACATCGGCAAAACACAAGAAGGATGCTAGATATATAAGTTAACAAGTCTTAGACTTTAGTAACGCGTTTTAAACCCATAACGGCCTAGGCCCAGAGCGGACAATATCCCTAGTGGGTTGGGCTGTTACAGATGGTATCAGAGTTACTCTTGTGTCAGTTTTGCCGATGATGGGTCAGAGTTCAACTCAGTTTAGGCAAATCCCATGCAGTAGGGCAAACCTCAGCGAGGACGCTGAGTCCATAAGAGGGGGTGTATGTAACACCCCAAAATTTAGACAGAGTCCCACATCGGCAAAACACAAGAGGGATGCTGA